TGGAGGGCGCGGAGCAGCGCGGACCGCACCGCCTGCACCGCGCCCGCACCGCAGGTCGGCGGCTGAGAGGCGCGCACGGAAGGACGAGGCCAGCGCCCGCGTGTGCGGGCACGGCGGACCCCGCGTCGGGGTGGGCGCTCACGCAGCCTCCACGGGGTGGTGGTGGTGGTGGCGGTGCTTGGTGGTGGCGGTGCTTGGTGGTGGTGCCTCGCGCCCTGCTGTGAGACACGGAGAGGACACCCTCGGTGAACTGCAGCGCTTGGGCATGGGCGCAGGTGTACGTACGGGTGGGGCGCCTCGGAAAGGGCACTGGCACAGCCACCGACAAAACCAACCGCCCGACAAATCACGTCCGCCCCAAAGCCTCCTGCCTTCTGCCCCTGCACTCGCATCATCCCGAGCGGCTGTTACTGTTCAGACCTTACCTAACCACGTTTCTGGAGGGTAGGTGAGGGGTAGTATTGTTTGGTCACGGATTCCCTGGCAGATGTAACGGAGGGAAACCTCAGGAATGCTCAAGCTGGAGATGGGGAGAGCTCGGGACCTCCTCTCACAAGGGGAACCTCCGTTGGGTCCCTTTACGTACACCTTGAAACAACACCTTCGCTGCCCTGTGGTTGCGTGCCCAGTACAGAGCAAGCAGAAAAGCCGAATCTACACGAGGTACATTGCAGGCATAGGAGTACTTCTACAATGTCCTGCCTAAGTACAGTTGCATTCTCTTCCTACAAAAATTTCCTCCAGCCTGTCTGAACTAAAAAAGCCTTACTGCATTCACTCAAGAAGCACAGTTGTGACCATCTCTAATTGACCTTAGCTGACACTGCTGCATTGAGAAGACTGTTGCACGGATCCCATGTAATGATGCGCCAGTGCTGCTGCACGATGCGGTCTACGTGAGCCTTTTCTCTGCAGTGCAAGGCAGTATGTATTTGTTCTGCTACTACGTGTTAGCTCAGAGACACAAGTTTTCAACAACAGTAACGTTAACCATGTTAACATTATGATTCTAGCAGTAGGGTGAATTTCCTCTTTTTAGTTATTCCTTTTTCCTGTACATAAACAGCAAGCCTATCCCTACGGTACCACAGCCATCTTCCCAGAAGGTGAGCAGACTGCCATCGCTTCAGTCCCACTAGGAATAATTAGCATGTGTTGGTAATGCTTACTCAGGCTCCAGTTGCTGCCATAGTCTTGTTTAACCTTTAAATTCCCACTCAAGCTGAATAAACAAACGTGAGTTACTAATTTTCACAAGTTGCATGCTCCGGCCAATATAAATCCCTATTTGCTTCCAATTCTGCTGTTGCACTGTAAACAAATAAAGGTCCTAGGAATGTACTATGTAAAAGAAATGCTAACAAAATCATGTATGACTTGGCTTTCATTCCTTATTCAAGCAATATAATGAAAGTCAACAATATTATTCTGTTTATTAGGGGTAAAAGGACAGGGTGTGGTTTGTAGCTATGTTGATGAGCTGTAACCAAGCGGACTATTGCCAGGTGACAAGTCTTCCCTTTGTTGTGGATTACGTGTTTAGTTTTGCAAAGTTTATCGAGAAGAGCTAACATCTTTAATTAGATCAACTGATACAATGGGAGAAACAGACAAGCTTTATGGCAAACAAGCCTTTCTTCAGTTTTAGCTTTGACAGACAAAGTCCTACTGAAGAAGAAAGGTTCTTTGGTTTTTACTGATTGAGTTGATGGCAAAGATGCTAGCAAAAAGAAAAGCACTAATTCAAATGTTCAGTTATTTTCCTGTCTTAGAAGTCTAGTGCTCTAAACGTTTGTTAACTAGACAAAAATTAGACACCAAAGAGAAGTTACAGCCTTTGTATAATGCTTACTTGAAAAGACACGTCTGAAAGCACAATTTTGGCATAAGCATGACCATTTCTCCATGTTTCTTCCCTATTCCAAATGTTTTTAATTTCTAGTTTGAGTAAAACGAGGTGACTGTAAAGAAATCCATTCCAAATACTTACTTGTCAACAAACAGCTTAAATGTTTAACATTGAGGCAGGTCTAAAGAACATAAACAGCGTAAGATGCAATGTACATTTAATTATTGATGTTTAGCATAAAGCATTGTATGACTTGTCCTATAATGTATACATTTAACAAAGAAACCACCTCCCCTGGATTTCCCACCACCACCTGCCAACCCTTCACTTGTTGTAGATCTTCAGTCTCTTAAGTTACCTCAGTGGGTAAGGTTATACCTATGAAGAGTTTCATTCTTAGTGAATGAAGGAATCTACAGAGAATGTGAAAAACATGACCAAGTTACAGCATCAAGGAACTCAACTGTAAAACTCTTCAGAGCAGAGACAGTCCCTATCTTTGTGTTTCAGAGAGAATCCAGAGCTGTTGATCCTAAAAAAAAAAAAAATATTAAAAAAAGACTGTTGCCATTTATCTCTAACAGCTGGAAAGATTTCTTTAATCTAGAACATGAAAGCTGCCTCTTGACACCATAAATCTTACCTCAAACCCACTGATGTTCTTTGAAAGCTCTTCCGTTATAAAATATAATGTATGTTTTGTTCATAGTTCAAGACAAAAGGAGACCAACTTTGGGAAACACTCGTAACCAAAGATGGTTCTTAGACTGGCAACCTCCAATTCCCAATTCCTCTCCATGTGCCACAAACAATGCCACCGTGTTGAAACAACTCCTCCAATGTGTTTGAAGGCTGTAGTAAATAGACCACAGGCTGCTGTTTCTGATAACTGCACTGCCTGTGTAAATCGACTGCTTCCTCTCAATACAAACATATTGGTCACGTAGTGACTGAATATGTGAGCAAAAGATGTAGTATGCTTTTCTTAACTGAGCTGTAGGAAATTGGTATTTAAATTGTGCTCTGCATGTTGGCATAAGCTACGAGACCTCAGACTGCCAAAATGGGACCCAAGGGGGTAGAATTCTCCCATACAATAAAATGACAGATGCCTGTTGAAAAAGGTACAGCAATTCAAGCAAGTCTCCAGCTTGTTTTGCACTGGGCAAGCCACCAGCAACGAAGCAGAAGGTGAAGAGAGATGTCACAAGGACCAAGGCAGTGTTTTGCCAAAGCATCTCCCAGAGAGAGAGATGAAACAACAGGGAGCCCCTCAGGTTTCCAGCAGTATCTAAATAAGGTGATAGGGCATATGGTCTGGGCGTTTGTCCTGTGCCTGTGCCACGCGTATAAGAAATTTCAGCAGAGCAGCCGGCACTGCAAGACAACACGCGTGTTCTGTCACACTGAGATCTGAACACGACCAGGTCCCTCTTAAAGGCAGAAAAGAGATGGGAGCAAGCCATGACTGCAGTCAATATATCTTCAAGTAAGCTAGTGGAGGAAAATAAAGCCGCACAAAAAAGTCAGGGTTGTTTGGCCAGGGAAAAGAAAATTCCTCCTGTGACCAAAACTTTGAAAAAGAAACAGATGGGGAAAGGGGACCTTGAAAGCAGGACAAGAAACTGCAGACAGGGAACTTGGACGTGGTGAGGAACACGCTACTGCGCAGGAGCTGCACAGAACTGGAGATCTGTGAGATGCCTTATCTGTATGCACGTTTCGCTGGTGCCAGAGATCCCAGCACTGCGAGTAAATTGGGGGGAGAGCTCTGGGAAGCCTGGTTCACACAGAGCGAGCAGAGCTCCTGTGTCATGGGTCGATGTACCTCATCTGTACAAGGTCTTTGTTAACAACACTGCTCTGAAACACAGTTCGGGTTTGGAGACCAGAGCCATGTTTCTGATTAGGCAGCTTTTGGTGAGGGCTACAAATGTTTATATTGTACTTTAGTATCAGATTAACTGTGAACAGTCAGTGTGAAGGTGTTGAGAGTAGGAAATCAAAAGTAATTTTTTGTGGGGCACCTGTCCTATGAACTACCTCCCACTTTAAAAATTGAGGATTTATCCCCGGATTTGATCGCAGCAAGCGTTCTCTGCAATAAAGAGAGTGTTCAGCTTATCAGCACGCCGGCATCTGCTTGGATGCAAATTTGTGCTCACAGACCTACTTGGGAACAGATATAAAAGGTGAAAGACTTTGTAATTAAGAAATGGAGTTCTTAGCTAATAAAGATATTTCAAGCACCCACTGTTTTACTGTCATACCATGAGTATTGGAATCTATTTTGGATTCAGAAAACCCTCTCCTGTCTCCCATCCCTTCTAAGAGATTCTTAATGGACATCCGAAATAAAATTTGTTGAAGACTGAGTCAAACCAGATTTTCCATGGTAAACTATCGAATAATTTTGAATAGCAGAAAATAAAACAGGCTACTGTAACGAGGCCGTGCCACAAGGTAAGTAAAAGGAACAGAAATCCAGATGGCGTGTTTTACCTCCTGTGGCTGTGATGTAGCATACGGATTGTGCTGGCCCAAGATCTCTGAACACATCAAAGTGGGTTGAACATATGGACACTCACTTGCAGTACAGCTCTGTGAGACCCAAGGTGCTGCCTACACATCAAAGGCAACAGCTTAATGCTGCGTAGGGTGTTGACAGTCTCTCTCAACACCCTCTGTTAACAATAAAATGTGTGACCCTTTAAATTTTTTAAAATCCTTACAAGTTTGACAAGTGCTTTAAAATTAATCTCGGTGAAATACCTATGTCAATTGGCCACTTTATTAATGCAAGAATAAATAATTTAGAAATAACTGTTTTAGTATTTTAGACCTCAACTCATCATTTTGACATAGTAGTTAGTCATTCTGTTTCTATGCATCTGGTCAATGACTCTCTCTAATTAGCTATTCTGAAAATGAGAAGAATTGAAGTGGCATAAAGAATAATGGAAACAGCTTCCATCGAATTGTTTCCTCCCTCCACATTTGTTATCAATATTCTGATATACTTAAAAACAAATGCAAGCAGTACCACTTATTATAAACTTCTAACCATGACCATACATTATGCTACAATAAAAATTAGTTTGTGTATTATTAACCCTAGGTTACAGGCATTTTAAAATGTCTACGTGCTTCTCTTCAGTTTTGCTACAGAGAAACGGAATGTGATGAGACATCTACTGAACAGAGTAAGGTGATGACTGCCGCAGGGATTATGCAAGCGAGGGTCAATTAATAATGAAAGGTTTTTGCTGGAGGTACTGACAAACACAGTTGGAAAATTTGTACTAATTAAGATCACTTACAGATAAGATAATTCCATAGCATGTGATGCCGCTGCTGCTTAAGTGATGTGATTTCATATATGTATGTAATGGGAGGGTTTTTTTAACTCGGGCCTCATTTTAATAACCTAAATGATATTTTTAAACGGATACAAATGCACGTGTGCATCATCCCAGACAAACTACGATTTAGTGAAATATCAATTCAGTAACGGTCTATTCCACATGAGAGACATTGCAAAAG